CGTTAAGAAAACCCGGAAGCCCAATGTACGGAAAAAGAATTTGGGTGATATATATCGTCATCACCTGAGCACGTGGTAGAGGAGAAATTTCTATTATCTTATTGGCTAACATGTGACTTGGAGGCGTGGCTTCTTTGATGGACTCACCCAGGCGCGACTGCCGAACTTTGAACTTTAACTTTGTTTACGCCGTGAGTTCATGAAAGTCAAACATGGAGTCTGAGAATTGGTAGACATTTTAACGAACTTTCAACAGAAAGGAACATCGAAATGAGTGCATACTATTGCAAATTAACTTCCTGTAGGTAAATAAGGTTCTTTACAGGCCTGTTGCGCTATTTATATTGGTGGTTTTTGTATTAATTTTTGTACAGCATTGATTGAAGTAGCCGGCGAAAACATCGTAGTAGCCGATCGAATGCGCCGGCCGCCGGCTCTTAAATAAACCCCTGAACTGTATACAGTACTTAATGAATTTCCAAAAGAATTCCTGTTTTTTCGGAATTTAAACTAAACAAATTTAAATAAAATACTTTTAAAATCTACAACAGAGGCCAATGAACAACCATTTTGTACAGTAATACTATACAGTACTGTAGTATGGAAACAGCGAGCGCACATGCTCTGTAAGCCTAAGCCAGATGACAGAACTAGCCAAGGCATGCTGTATTAAAAGATTGAAAATTCACCAAGTTTGAAGGGCAAAGCCTTGATGAACATTTTTCCTTTTGAAATAGAGTAAAATAACAGCTAATAAGCTAGTATACAAGAAAGTTTATCTCGAAATGATTAGGTACATACGATCTAAAATTCTGTAGTGCACTTATCGACATTCTCCGGCGGTGCTGTTTGTTTTAATTTTGTCTCCCTATAACAATGGAGTAATGGTATGACTTACCATATGGATAGACCACAAAAATACAGCAAAACATACCATTAAAAAATTTTCTAAAACACAGTGATTTGAATGTGTGGCTTAATACACATAAAAGCAACTTGTGATTAGTTTGAATTCATAAAAAAATAGCTTACATTTTTTGTAATATCTGATCTACTAGACGTATTGATCCAGCCAGACTATTTTGTTTTTCTATCTAGGCCTAGTTGTTGTGAGCTGAGTAGGGAAGGCTAGCGTCGCGAAAGAAAGAACTGTGTGGACCTCGCTATCATCTATCTAGCCTTCGCGATATAATTGTCAATAAGGTTTTAATTTGACCAACACATTTTTTTAAATCCTCCAAACAATCTTGACTAGGGCCTATGCCAAAACTTGTTCATTTATTCGCAAGAAATGATGAGGTACAATCTAAATTCCATGGTGTTTAATACACATAAAAGCAAATTGTGATTCAGGGGTTTATTTAAGAGCCGGCGGCCGGCGCATTCGATCGGCTACTACGATGTTTTCGCCGGCTACTTCAATCAATGCTGTACAAAAACCACCAATATAAATAGCGCAACAGGCCTGTAAAGAACCTTATTTACCTACACGAAGTTAATTTGCAATAGTATGCACCAATTTCGATGTTCCTTTGAAAGTTCGTTAAAATGTCTACCAATTCTCAGACTCCATGTTTGACTTTCATGAACTCACGGCGTAAACAAAGTTAAAGTTCAAAGTTCGGCAGTTGCGCCTGGGTGAGTCCAACAAAGAAGCCACGCCTCCAAATCACATGTTAGCCAATAAGATAATAGAAATTTCTCCTCCACCACGTGCTCAGGTGATGACTATATACATCGCCCAAACTCATTTTCCGTACATTGGGCTTCCGGGTTTTCTTACCGCGGAGAAGAAAAAAACAGATCGTCATTTTTAAATTAATTTGTGTATGACTATGAACATTTTATTTTCATTTTATTTTTATTTTACTAGCCCTCTTTGTGATGACATAGATATTTCGGAAATGATAAATAATAAAAAAAAAAAAACCAACACTGGCTCAAATTTGTTTACACTCGGTGGTGGAGGTAGCAAGGCGAACCAACTATATTGAATGCTGTTTACACTCACGATTTCAGAGTTATAGATAGTATGCCTACAATGATTAAAACGGCAAAGCAAGCCCAAATCGTCTCAATTCACGACATCACATGAGACATTTTTTTCCAATGTGGTATCCATTCCTTTTCGATATCTGCGTAAATTTTAGAACTATTTTTTGTATTAGCCGTGAAGCTTACCCTTCTAGTCTGTGATTGGTTGATATACAAAATATGGAATATACAGACCATTTGCAATCTGACAAATGACGAACACACTTTTTTCTTATGAAACTGATCCCAGTGGTTAAAGGTACATGATATAACATACAATTTCACGATTTCCCGACAATATTTTCTCAAAAACCCTTCATACTTTATACTTTCCAGGCCTTCTCATCCATATTATTACAAGATCAGCTTAATCACGTCACAACTGAAGGCCCTGACAGAAAAAGGAGTGACTTCAAAATTCGCTCAAAATCATTATAAGCCCTCTGCCTCAGAGAGTGGGCTAATAAAGTCGAGAGGGTCAAAATTACATTAAAAACTTGGAAATCCTTGAATATTGCTACAAATCAAAATATAAAACTCAACAGTGTATGTTATCACAGTACACTGCGTTGCTGATATAATTACAATCACTTTTAATAAATATTTAGACAATGCAAAACCAGAACCCTGCGGGTATGTACGTTCCTTTGTATGTAAACATAGTTTAGAGGGATTTGTGGTCCAGTAATGGTTTCTAATGTTTTTATGTACACCTACACCACCATACAGGTCCGTCCATCAAATGCTGTATATTTACATACCTGCCAACATTTGAATATCAAAAATAGGGATGCTATTCATTGGTGACAAACAATTGTAAGAATTAAGATGGCAATTATATATCCTAATTCCTGTACAGTTGCTTCAAACAAAACAAGAGTTACTTAATTTCAAGTGTACTGTTTATTTACCTCACAACCAACACAAATATTTAAGTTATATTTTAATCAGCAGGCCTACAGACTGCACCATGAAGGGCACGGTTTGTTGCTTGTTTTGCTGATCTCATTGGAGTCATAACGTCAATATTTATTCGAATGACACTTAATAATCTCTGTTCAACATTTCCAGCTTGTGTGTCATTAAAGCACTTTTAAGTTTTTGTTTTCATGCTAGTTCGAAGCTTGGTCTTGTTTTTTCAACAATAGAGAAAACTCTCTCAGTCACTACTGCTATAAAATATTACCATAGTTCTCCGGGTAGAATCCCACCCCGACTTTATGCTTTACGCCCAAATTCGCCTACAAGAATTTTCCCGGGTAAAGTCCCAGGGTCTGTGGATTGGGTATGTCGGCCTAAGTCGGTAAATTTAACAAAAGCTCAAAAAATAAAGGAATTGTCTCCAAATTTGCCGACTTGAAACTCTTAAAATTGCTTACAACAGACATTGGTCGCCATAAATTTGAATACAAAGCCCATTCTTGTTAATTATTTTATTGTTTACCGTCACTAAAAATAAGCAGCACGCTAACTGCGGCTAAAGATAGACAACACCGCGGTCCGTCCCCGAAAAGACCTGCCCAGTTGGCTGATCGGATCGTTAATTCACAGCGTGAAGACTCACATGTTTCCACAGAGATTCGCTGCTAAAAATAACTTGTTACATCATGCAAGACTGATTTCTTCACCCGAATATTGTTTTGATAGGCTATTGAATCGTAGGTGAAAACCACCTCGCAAAACGATCATCATTTTCATCTTTTCATGCACTAGGCCTAGGGGCGTACAGACCCGCTTCTGATTACGCAAGGTGCCCAACCTAGTGCATCCATCACATGCTGTATATCACTCCCCCACCCCCAACTCCGCGCAGACCAAATTTAGAAATTATTTTAACAAGTTGGGCTTTTAGCTAGGTCCATCAATTTCATAAAATCGTCTTTGTGTGTATTCACATACTGTTCATTCAATGTATTCTTCACCCTTAAGTATTTACTCTAAAACACAGGGTACACCTACAAACCAGTATTAATTGAACACACACTAGGATAGGTACACCTGATATATAGCACAATGGCCGATTTGATCAACAACATGACGAAATGCTCTAGATAGCCTCGCGATTACTAAAACACACGGAAGAACTTTAAGTATTAGCACAGTCGCCGAAAAGAAGCCTAATTTACGCTTAAGTATAGGCCTACACCGGGGCCGTCAATTGCAATAGCACAGTCGCCGAAGAAAAGCCTACATTACGTAGCCTATGTCACGCCTAGGCCTAGACACACCAGGTCCTTCAATTCCATGCTGTCGACGCCGTTGTTTGTATAGACTTTGTTCAATGTAGGCCTACTCTTGCCTTCAAGTATAGACTATACTAAAACACTAATAAAACACACAGTACACCATAAATTAATAATAACACATTGGCCGATTTGCCACAACTATCTTAGCTTGCTCAATGTCCGACGCATGCGCAAATAAGAATTTGGACTAAAAAAACCACTCAAAACTGGTGGTAGGGGGTATGTTTTATCGCATACAGCTTACATTTTCTATCTAACCGAAAAAACAAACATTTCCCACACAATTACATGTCCACCAGTACCTCTTGGGCACAATGTATACCCACCGCGAGGCAACGTTTAGGAGCCTATTTGTTTACAAACATACAGACTGGTTTTTGCCACACACACACACATTTCACATCTGTGTCATCCCAATAGTTCTTCAGTGATCTAAGGTCACAAAGGAACTAAAAAGTATTGCATTTTTTTATCTATATTTTTGACTTTGGTTGAGGAAGGTGGCATTTTCGAAAAAAGGGGAAAGTTTAAATTTACCAGACCACCAGGCGCTGCAATCACTTTATATATTTAAAAACATTATCTCTCACCCTGACCTTCGTCATAGCGAATGGTGCAAAGAATCCACGCCTGTGTACTGCTGTAGTCACAACTTATCCTATTCACATTATAACATTTAAACTATTGCTACCTCAAAATTCTAATAACAGAACATTTTACCCCATTGCAAGCATCTCTTGCCACTCTTGAGATCTGTGAGAAGAAAAAAAATATCATAATTTAATAATAATAATAATAATGATGATGATAATAATAATAATAGTATTAAATGATAATTGTAATAATAATGTGTATAAGCGGTTGGCGCATCGGTTGTGGCTCGGACTTCCAACCTCAAGGTCGGGGGTTCAAAACTCTTGCTGTGCAAATCGCTTGTGTCCTTGGGCAAGGCACTTTATCTACGGTTGCTTCTATCCACCCAGGAGTACAAGTGGGTTCCTAGTAGGTTTGAACCTAACTGCGCTGATAACTAGCTGCAATATTATGGAATTCTTCCCAGGGAGATGAGTGTGTGTAGAGGATTTATGCATGAAGCGCTAGTATATAAGAACGACATACTATTATTAATAATAATGATAATGATATAATATAAATATAATATACTAAGTACTTTATTTCAACACGGAAAACTTTATTCACCTACTGGTGTTTTCATCAAGGTAAGCAGTATAAAATGAAGAAAAATTAATACAAACACAAAAGTAGTAAAAACAGAAGGTTAAGAAAAACATTACATTAATACTTAAGAGCGGTGGCACATCAAGCTTGGACTCCCAACCTTGATGTCGGGGGTTCAAAACTCTCGCTGTGCAAATCGCTTGTGTCCTTGGGCAACGCACTTTATCTACTGTTGCCTCTCTCCACCCAGGAGTACAAGTGAGTACCTGGTAGGTTCCAACACAACTGCGCTGATTACTAGCCGCAATATTATGGAATAATAATATAATTTAATTGAATAACATAATTTGGTGTTCAATGTGTTCCATATGTGTTTGATCCAATGACCGAGGTAGTAATGTGAAGCGCTTAGAGGCTTTGTAAAGGCATTAAGCACTATAGAAGAACAACATATTATTATTACTTAGAAATCATCAAGACAATGTGAGTAAACTATTAAAATTGTACAATCAAGATAAAATAAGCTCTTTAACTTGGTGCATTTCTAACACTGTCATTAGGACTATTCCAAAATAGCACCACAATAGGTTGTTTTATATTCCGTTTTTCTATATATAAACATCTGCTGATCTTGTGTTATACTTTGGTTCATTTAATATGAATCTATCCCTACGATATGAAAGTGCATTGCCATGAAAAATCTTGTACATAGTTTTATAGCATTTTTTTTTTGCAGTATCTTTCATTTAATTTTTTGATATGTACACTGGATGTCTGAAATAAAATTTGAATTGAACTGAATTATAAAACAGTTTTGAATCCAGGTTTATCCATCTACTGTAAGCCTTCACATTATTTGTTTATGTAATTGTGCTACAGTACGCTACTTACAGTAAAATCTAAACTGAGATACAGTAATTGCTTACCATCATTTATTACTTGTAATATAAAATTGCTTATAGGCCTATAATTTATAATACTGATTGAGTATGAATCACAGAATTTTTTGGTCTTGATTCAGTTCACTATTGAATGATTGTGTCCCTCCCTGCTCATTCAGATTGTACTATTGTATTGTACCCTATATACAATAAGACCTAATCCCCGGATATCTTCTCTCATTCAACTGACTTTTTACTACTATTAAACGCTGAGATGTAATTGAATTGAATTTAATGGATAACAGAAACCATACAAAATCAATTGAAATACTGACATAGGCAAACATGATATGAATTACAATGGGAGCCAATAAATAGATTTCTCTAAGTTGGTCCCTTTATTAACTACACAGGAGTATCAACATCCTTAAACCTAAACTAAACAATTCAATAATTAATACAAATAAACAAAATAAGGCTTTAGTCTAAATACTCTGATAAGACAATTCTGTAAGTGATCTCATTAAACTCAATAACGAATTCCACTATTTTGCACCAGAAAAAGTAATTCTTAATTGGCCTAAATTAGTGCGAACCTACTGTAGGTATGGATAAATTAAAATCATAATTAAATCTTGTTCTATAATTATGTCCAGTGTTCTCAAAATATTCAGATAGGTTTTGTGGTAAAACTTAAATCAGATATAAAATTCAAAACAAATAATTTATGAAGCAATAAATTAACAAAAATTTAAGTTCATAAAATTAAGGTGCGGAATGACTGTAAACTAGAAAAAGTGATGCATCTGGTGTAAAACATTAAGGATACTATAGATAAGCATATTAACTCGCATGACAGGGCTAGCATTAATATTATCTCAGCACAGGTTTGTAGATAGAATATCATGTACTACTGTACACTCCTATGCGAGGTTTAGGGGGCTTCTCCTCGGCTTTTATATATTTGTTCAGATTTTGTATTGTTGTTTGTTGCCAAAATGAATAATATAAACAAAATAAGATTCTTGATGCATACACCGATTGTACAGTATACCTCAATTAGGCAAAAGCTGATGACATAATTGTTAAGAAAATTGCACAGTTCACAAATTGTAAGAAAACAGGGTATAATTCCGATTCATCCTCAGTAACTTCAGGGGTACTACAAACTACAAGGTTCGTTCCTTGGGCCGATTTTATTCAATTTATTTATTGCTGATCTCCCATTGTTTGTTTAAAGTATGCCAATATGCTAAATTGATACTCCAGTTCAGTGGTTCCCAACATTTTTGTATTCGTGAACTCCTTGGGACATGTCAAATTGTAATAATAATAATAATAATAAACAAGAAAACTTGTATCACCATATTGGTGTTTTTCACAAGGCCGTTATTGCAAGAAGATAAGAATGAAATGATGAAAAAAAACACATACCAACATATTGGAATACACATTTGCAAAGAAATGTAAAATACTAAAATATTAACAGACAAAAGACTAAAAATATTAACATCATAAAGAAAAAGACTAAAAAGACAAAAGACTAAAAAGTGATGTCATGACAATGTACAACAGTTTAAGATTTTTTTGTTTATTATTCAAAATATTTAATCGTCTCAGTTATTCATTAGTCTTTTAAAAGTATAAATATTAGGAGCAGTTGTTGCAAAATTATTAAGGTTATTCCAGATTTCTGTCCCATGATGTACAAAAACTTCTTTTTTTATTCAGTCTTTGGTTTATGTAAGCGTAAAATGTCATTTGACCTTGTTTCATATATATGTTCACGTTCATGAAACCGGTTTCTTAAGTAAGATGGTGCCAAGTATTCAGTCTAAGTATTATTCATTATCGATATTCTAACAATAAGATTATATAGAAAAAAAGTACAACATTAAACAGTGGTGGATCTTAGAATTCAAAATAAAGGGGGGTGGGGTCAGAAAGTCAATTTTACAGATAGGGGATCGATACCACCTCAGCCCCACCATGGTTGGGAGCTGCCGCTGATGTAGAACATTTATAAGTGCACTTTTAGATGGCCGGAAATGGCAATGTCATACTCAAAATTTGAATGTAATTTTCTATTATCCCCAATTTATTTTTAATTTTGTCAAATTTAAGGCTCCCTCCTGAATTTTTTTTTAATATCCTGGTAAAAGTATACAAGGCAAAGCATACAAACAGGTTGTTTATTAACAACTTCCTGAGGATTGCTATTACAGTACCTGTCTAAACATCTACATAAAGCACACAGAAAAAAAAACCATCTGCAATAAGATATTTGATTGAAAATTTGCCACTAAAATATGTAAAGTTTTTTTTTTTTACAGTGAATGATGTCTGCCTATGTCAAAAGTATTTCATTAATGATACGGAACCTAATAATTAGCAGTAAGATGTTAATCACACTGTTGTAGTAAGACAGGAAAAATAATGGAACGAATCATAAAAAATTGGTCTACAAATCTAGCGGACCCCAACATTTTTCACAGACACCTACATTTTTTGTGGACTCTTTTGACTTGGCAGACCCCAGGAACCACTGCTTTAGTTTTAGGTCAACAAGGCATGTGTTTTTCCACAAGGCATCAATACAATTAAAAAGTGGTGTTATGAAAATCGCAAAGTCATGCGCATTACCAAGTCTGATTGACTATTTATGTAGACTCTTCAATAGAGAAAAATGTTCTTTTTAAAGTACAGTTGTTGAAAAGTACAAAATATATTGTGGTATCGATTATCTACTGTTTAAGTATATTTTATTTCACTGAATTATTAGTTTATTTCATGTCATGAGACTTTCATTCAGCCAGCATTCCCAGGTTTCTATACTATTGTTGAATAATTGTTGATTCTTCATTGTTTATTCACAATAATAAGTGATATATTTAATATAAGACACACCTCATTTTTAATTACCTCGTTTTTAATTGGCTAGTTATAACTTTGATTTTAATCTCATTGGTCGGTTTATATTTGCTTTCTGTTATACTTCTGTTAATATTGTAAACATATATGGATGGGTGAGATTTTCTCAACAGTATTCTTGAAAATGATCAAATAGATCGAAACGTTGAATCTCAAAATGTGTGTCTCTTTTTGGAGTTACTGTCTTTTTGTTTTATTTATGACTAATTAGTGGATCCTCTGGTTTCTATGTATATATAGGCCTAGTATTCGTCGTTTTAGCACACTATTGCCTGAACCCGAGTCAATTTAATGATTTACTCTTTATTCCAGTTCCAAAGCGGCAACCAATTTTGTACGTCTACAAAGACCGAAGACCTGAAAAACGAAGAGCCACATTTTTTTTTCTCTCAATCGCGATGAAATAATGAAATAGGTACTTGGCAACTGTTTTATGATGATTTTCAAATACTTTCAATAAGATAATTCGTTTTTCGGGTCTTTGGTCTTCGTTTTGTACTTGAATTGAAGTAGACACCGAAACGAAGACCCTTGAAAATTTCGCAAACAGACGCCCAAAAAAATTCATAATTTTGATTTTGTGACAGCCTGGCATATTATCATCAAAATAATGGAGGAAAAATAGGGGTCTTCGTTTTATAGACACCCGCCTAGGCTAGGGCCTAGGCCTACATTCTCCTGAACAATATGCCCCGCTGTACATACTACAGTACCTTGAAGAATCCACACTTGTGATGGAATAACAATAGTGTGACAATTAAATATCTACTCCCTTCTTTTGCTAAATATTTTATTATGCCAGGCCTATAATATAGGCCTAGGGGCCTATATATAAAGCGCACTAAATATATTATATTTAGTGCGCTTTATGTTTTTTTTCAATAGTACAAGACTCCGTCCCAGCTAGCCTGGGCCTAGCCTAAATTTATTTGTAATAATTAGTAGGCCTCTCTCCTTAGCTAGGCCGCCTAAACAATTAGGTTTATTTACCTTCTCCTTAATGTTTGATCCGTCCACAGACAATCTTGGGCCTACTGACAGAATGTTGTAAACAACTAAACAGAGAAGCGGCATTTGAAATGCATACATTTCCAAAATGTCCTAGTAGTAGTAGGGTAACTCTCTCCTCTAGTCTTGTCATCAGGTAGGTGACTGACACACAACAGACAATTGAATCACCTACTCATCTGTCTGGTTTGTACGGTGTGTACGTGCCTCTCGTTGCGCAATCGAAATAGCCCTTGGCCTAAGCATATATGTAGAACGCCATTTATGCAACAACTTAAAAAACTGCCTTGATGTGATAAAAGTTTCGAGACATCTTCAAAAGCACTCATTAGAACCAAGGAAATATACATATTAAAAGGCCTTGTTAGAACAACGTATTTTTCAATCAATTTAATTTCCATCAACATCGAAGCAACTTCACATTATCTAGTTGTTGGGTACATGGCGTTCCATAACATTAAAAATGTCTATTTTTAACACGACCACTTTTTCGGATGGCAATTATGTGATTATTATTATGTGACTATCCGGGTATTTATAATGTATTTGTTAAAATGTTATGTTCGTTTAATTTATTGAATTTTATTTTGAATTTTGCATCATTTGGATTTTAAATAAATAAATAATAATAATTAATAATAATAATTAATAATAATAATAATAATAATAATATAAATAATAATGTGCAATCGTCATTACATTATGTGCAATCTTCAATACATTATTTTTCAATCGATGTCATTTCCATCAACTTGTATGTACCCAAAGCAACTTCATTGTTTGGTACAATACACATTTCTAACATGCCCACTTTTTTGGTTATGACAACACTCTATTGTAGTATTATGTGACTATGGTATTTTTGATGTATTTGTTACGGTTATGTTCGTTTAATTTATTGATTTTGATATTCAGCTTTCTCCTCTGCACATAACGTAATGACATCTTTTGCAAAAATAAATACTATAATAATAAAAATAATAATAATAATATGCAATCGTCATTAAAATAATTATGTGCAATCATCATTACGTTATGTGCATTCATCTTCTGTCACGTTGTTTAGACATGACATTAGGTCATTTGAACCAGAGAAAGCTTGTTCCCCCTCCTGGAAGTTTTCCTTGTACTTTTTACAATAGATAATAAGTAGGCCTATTTGAGTATTAATAAAAATAAGTTTTACTTTCAGTAATATATTTCTTATATTATTTAGATACTTTGCCGCCTACATTTGTAAAAATATTTTCCATCAGTATTTTTATGCTAAAGTTTTGTTAACAACTAGAAAGAGTTGGTAAAAAGAAGAAATCATGTAAATATTGTTGTTACTTGTGCACTTATATTTAATCATAAGAGATGATGAGAATCTTGATGTACTGTATCCCTTATATTTAATTTTTTGTTTTAACACATGGGGGATTCTGGGAAGGGGAGGCTGGGAAGGGGAGGCAATAGCACATAAACAAGTCAAGATTCCTGTAAAATTTTATTACCAAATTACCAACTAAAATTTAATAACTATTGAAAGACTATCTAATAACTAAAATAAATAATTATCCCCAAATAAACAAGATATGAATCATTCTCAAAATAAGAAATTAAGTAGACTAATAAACATAATGTTTAATTGTATGACATTTTCAGAACAAAAGATACTTATTGGCTATAGACGATCAAATTTCAACCAATTAAAATCTTTTTTTTTTTTTTCTCTTTTGTGGGGTCGTCCCACTTTTATTTGTTCCATGATTTCTTTGAACATAAATCTTGTTTTGTTACTATTAACATATTTATCACTTATTTAAAATTAGTACTATTATTCTATTTCCTTTATACATTAATTTTTTTTCCATTTCTAAACATTATACAATTAATACAATAATTTAATTACTCCTCCCATCAAACCATCAATGCAACAAAGCATAATCACCCAACGGTCAAGAAAGTATGATAGTAATAATGATATTAATAATGGTGACGATGATGATAATAACAACAACAATAACAATGATAACAATAATAATAATAATAATAATAATAATAATAGTAATAATAATAATAATAATTAACTTAGTCAATCATAGCAAATAGCTTATTTAACTATAGTGTTCTGTACATGCAATATTGAGGTAATATTACGTATACATAATCACACCTATACATATCCATAATACTTACATACGCATATTTACACACATATACCCATACATACATACATACATATATAGAATTACTTTTTTTTTTTTTTTTTTTTTTTTTTTTTTTTTAAAATTCTTTAAATAATTTTGTCTGTTTTTTTATTTTTTTTATTCTTTTTTTTTTTTAAATGGGGGGGGGGGTGGAGGGGTGGCGTTTTTTTTTTGTTTGTTTTTTTTTTTTTTT